AAATAGCCCTGAGGAACACCCATTTTAATACTAGTTCCTTGACCATTTATTTCGACAACTTGCATTCTATTATTTAGATAGGATTTCATCATGCTTTGTGCTTCATATTTAATACCGTAATGTTCAAGTTTGAGCAAAAGTGTTTCATGTTCAACGCAATCAAATGCTTTTGAAAGATCGCAAAATACACCGACTGCATCCTGAGACCTCTCCCAAGAATCAAATATATATTTAATGAGAGCTACACCGGCATCAGTAGTTGAACCGGCCGTGAAACCAAATTGTCGACTGTGAAGCAGTTTATTTACTTTAAAGTGTTGTAGCATTTGATTGAGCATAATTTTTTCAAACACTTTACTCAATACTGGTAAGATAGATATAGGCCTATAATTACCTACCACAGTTTTTTCTCCTGACTTAAAGAGTGGAGTTATTTTGCTATGTTTCATTAAATTGGGAAAAACACCGTCAGAAATACATTTATTGAAAATAATTACTAAATATGGAGCAATAACATCTATAGCGGTGTTAATAACTTTAACAGACATGCCCCAATGGTCTTCAGTATTTTTTAAATTTAATTGTTTAAATGTTTTAGTAATTGTAGCAATGTCAATAAATGTAAATTTAAATGTAACCGGACAAGAAACAACATTATCAATAAGGAATGATTTAGCTGTACCAGGAGAAGAGTGAGGAATAATATCAGTTGGAATATTAGCGAAAAAATTTTCAAAAATATTGACAATTTCTTTTGTGGACGTTACTAGTTTATCATTATAATTTAGCGTAAAATCGTTATATGGACTTTTAACTTTGCCAGTTTCTTTGTTAATAATATTCCACACTGTCCTTATCTTATCCTTGGACTCTTTAATTTTTTTATTTAGATAATTAGACTTTGCTACATTACATACCTTTTTAAAAGTTTTTGAGTATCTTTTTACATAATTTACGAATGTACTATCGAAACGGTATTTTTTTTGAGCATATAAATCAAATAATATATTTCTACTTTTAAGAATTTTTGCCCATTCTGAAAATTTTGTTTTGTTAATAATACTGATAGTTTTTTTGTTAAAAGCCTTATTATATTCGTTAGAAACAATATTGAAGAAATCTGTATAAAGTTTTACGAACTGATATTTTAAATTTATTTATCTTATAACTAGTTAAGTCTCTTTTTAATAAATTAATTTTCCCAATTTTGTTTAGGTGATTTGGAAAAATAACTATTTGACCACAGTGATCAGAAGGAAGGTTGTTTATTATTATTTTATCTAAATACTCACTGTTGCTAAATATGTTATCCAAGCAAGTAGCAGACGTGGCAGTGATACGAGTGGGTTCGTGGAAGACATTACTCAAGTCAAAGGATTGAAATAAACTCATTAATTTAGTTTTTGTGGTATTATGTGATAAAATGTCAACATTGAAATCACCACACACTATAATTTTTTTGTTAATATTAAATACTCTTTTTAAAATATCCTCCATTACCTCTTCAAATAAATTATAATCACTATTTGGAGGTCTATAAACACATATAACTATATAATTGTCTAGTTCCACACAGGAAATTTCAATACAACATTCAACAGAAAGATTGCCAATATCACTACGTTCTTTTACTTTTATATTATTTTTCACCAATATCATAGAACCTCCTCTATTTACTATTTTTCTATTAAAGCAGCTGACAATATTATAATTGTTTAAGCTGAACATCATATTGCTCACTTTGAGCCAATGTTCAGTTAAACATAGAACATCTATATTATTTTTTTCTAAAAACAATTGAATAATTAATTCACAGCCGAGAAAACTTTGTATGTTCTGGTGAACAATTTTCAATTCTGATAGCTTTCCCTTTGTCTTTTTCAGCAGTTTAAATCTGCAGTCATATTTAAATTTTTGTAAATAAAAGGATTCTTACTAGAATCAATATTTATGTCAATATTTTCAGTATGTTTAGTATAACATTAGTACAAGTTACTAATTGGATTAATGCAACCCATTATATTACTTATAATGGGGTCATTTATATTTAGCTAGTAAATACTATATTTCTTATTGGCAGATAAAATCTATCTCCAGTCATACAAAAGTTTGTAACAAATTTGACTATCAAAAAATAAAAAATTATGACGACATGTCATATTATAAATTAAATTATTAATATAATATATGAACTTATTTTGTTCAATGGTCAGAGAACGACAGTAAGGAAATGCACATAATATTATTTTACCTATGCCCAGCTCAGCAATATTAAGCAAAGAGTTTACAAGTTTAATTACATGACTTTTTTTTACATATAAACAGTTGCCTAAAGCAATGACTAATGTGGTTAACTTATCATACCTACCATTAACCACCTTATTTAAAATATTAGGCAATGAAGCACCAGGAAGACAATTAATGACATGTTGATATAGACTTTCTGATAATGAACGGCCCAGACCCTTACCATATTCATCTGAATAAATAATTGTCCTTCGTACTGGTGCAACATTACAATTATCAGTTTTTAAAGACAAGTTAGAATTGAGTAAACTAGAACAAGGAGTGATTGATCATACCGATGTGATTGACTTATTGTTATTTCCATTAGGGCTATACTGACAAGATTTAGGAGATTCAGGTGTCTCACAACAACATTTCTCTGTCAATGAGGTAAACCGCTCCATGTTGTAATACTCTATTAATTTATCCAGCGATTTACTATAATTATTAATTTCAAGTTGAGCACACTCATATTTTTTTGTTAAATTAGATAATGAAGATTCTAACTCTTGAATTTTACTCTTTAATTTATTTTGTTCTAAATCCTTATCATGTAAATTTGTTTTACAATTTTGAAGTTCTAAAATTTTTAAAATTAAAATTTCGAGCTAAGAATCAAATTAAAATATCTTTATCCATGTAGTTCTAATAGAGACTATTATGATATGTCAAATCTGCCGTCAAGTTTGAGTGCTTTCGAGCTAAGAATCAAATTAAAATATCTATATCCATGTAGTTCTAATAGAGACTATTATGATATGTCAAATCTGCGTCAAGTCGTAGTGCTTTCGAGCTAAGAAGAACTGACAAGAAACTCAGCTTTTATTCATTTTAAATGAGCTTGTACATAATTACAAAAATACAGATTCATTTTCAAATTCAAATTAAGGTGTGAGCACCAGCATATGTTATTGCAATTTTTAGAGAAGAATATTCAAATCATTGCAGAGATTCCGGAGATTAGTTTACCAAATTAAAATGGAGCATAATCATGTCTAATTAAATAAATAAAGAGTAGTCTATATTGTGTATAAAATAAAAAGCTATTCTAATCTCGTATGTTGGAGAGTACTGAAAATTCTGTAAATTTTCAGTACTCTCCAACATACGAGATTGTATTTTAGCGGATTTTTATACTAAATTTTTATTTTCTGTTTACTGTAACTGGATTAAACCGAATTTAAACAATATCAAGCTTATACTGTACATAAAGTAATAATGTTATATACAGTTATGACACATAGATGTTATGAGACTGATATTTTAGTAGACTTTGAGTCTTGGACTTTGATCTTAAATTGAGACTTTGATGTAGAAACAAGTTGCTTTGCATCTTTTATGTTATATTGAAACTTTGCAAACAATTTTTTTATATTACGACGCTGACAAACAATCATACGGCCAATCTGATGATAAACAGTTACGGTAGCCTATGCACGCCTGAAATACCAGTCAAGTACGCGTTGTCGACCCTTAAGGACGTTTAATATACTGTTCTTGACAACGATATGTTCCAACACCTGCTGTCTACCAAATTAGTTCGTTATCAGTGTTATCATCACCTGAGAATCATAGACTTTTATGTCGGCTTCGAACTGATGAGCTTTGGCGTCAAACTCGGGATAGTAAACGACTAGGCCAGGCTGTAGATAGAGAAGACTAAACCGTCATGTTTAGTTGTTATCTGCATCAATATTTATAAATACATATTTTAAAAAACAATTGATAAGATACCAACATGACATATAACACAGTCGTTTGTCAATGAAACTAGTAAGAAAACGATTCGCGCGTTTGACCTTTGCTCATAACTGTAAATAGGCATTTAGAAATAACTGAACAAATGTTCATACAGATATTTAATTATATATAGATTATATTATATTTGACCCTCAAAATATATATTTGTTATGATACATTTATCTAATAATTAAATTAAAATATCGACGCCTTTGAAAACAGACAGGCAAAGGGGCTTACAAAAGTAAACCTAGATAAGATATTCATAATTTTTTAGACTGATGAAACCCGATTCGTCATACTCTACATGAATGACGAAATACAGGTGTGACATATACTCAGCTAAATATACTCACCATAATGAGTGACGTCACTTTTTCTGAATTAAATTATTCAAGCAGCTTGCTTTGTAAGCTGTGTTTCAGTTTAATGTGAATATAGAAGTATAATACCGGTTGGGAGATCTAAGAGCCTAAGGTATCATACCTTAGTTCTTTAGAATTGCAATGTATAAATCGGAAGTTAAATGTAGTTTACCTAAAAATAAGAGCTGACTTGACCTGACTTCATTCTCATGCTATCATCTTCTACGAGCTATATGCTCCGACAGCGCAAATGTGAACATAATTTCATTTCCCATAAAAATATTGTTAATCCATATATAGAATAATAATAATAAATAATAATATAATTATTAAAATATCAACTTAATAACTCGAGCCCACATTCATCAATCATCAAGACAAGTCTCTTTATAATTGAAGACAAAGTACCAGGCGAACATAACTATAGAGATGTTTATTGAAATTAGTCTTTGCAAAACTTGTTCACAGAACCTCCTGTATGCATCTACTATCCTAGTACTTCGTAATATTTTCTTTGGTTAGTCGAGCGTTGTCCGTCTTTTTTTATTCTATAAAACATACTATATAATAAAATAAATATATAAAAAGAGGTAAGAAAGTTATACCTACCAGTATAGGTAACTGCACCATTGGTCTCTGAAAACAAAAGAAAATAGATTTGGATTATTATTATCCTGGTATTAATAATATATATTAATGAATGAATGAATGAAAGTAATTTCTAAAAACCATATATTTCTTTTTCCTAATAATGCATATATGCAAATAACAATAATTGTTCAAGGATCTACCTAATCCTTGAACAAAAGTCTTTTATTAGATCGCACTGTACGCAACCATTTGAGATTTGTATCATTCTAAAACCGACTCTATATAAATGAAACTACATATAATATTTAACTTTTGGGATCTTTCTATACATCCATCTTCTGATTGATAATAATAATAATAATCTCAGGACAATTCACACAGCGTCATCTAGACTCAAGTTAAGCTACATATACATGGATATTTTTTTTTGTAAATACATACATATTATACATAGAAAACACCCAGACCGATACAAACAATCATACTTATGAATACAAACGTTTGTGCCGTGCGAGGAATCGAACCCGCGACTATCGGTCGTAAAGCGGCGTGCTAGACCTCTAGACCACCGAGGTCGTCGTTGATGTTAAGAATGACCGTACCATCTTGGATTTCAATATATCGAGCGAAATGTGGACATATCAAGTGTTGATCATTACTCCAACTACATTTACATTTGATAATGCCTCTAATTATCCCATTTGGGATAATCTTTCAAAAGTATATATATAGTCTAGCAGTTTAACACACCGCTTTCATTCCGATAGTCGCGAGTTCGATTTCACGCATGTTACAAACCTTTGTATTCATGAGCATGATTGTTTGTATTGGTCTGGGCGGTTTCTATATATATTATATTCTATGGTATTTATATATTTTTTATGTACTACGATGATGGCAAACAAGAATACGGTTTAAATGGTTACTATAGCCTATGGACGCCTGAGACACCATGGATGTCACGTGAAAAACCTCATGCTGTAGTCTCATGAAAAATCTAACAGTTATCTAACACAAGTTCGGTTTAGCTTAGCACTACATGGCGCTGTGTGAATTGTTCAAGGATTTTACTATTATAAAAAAATATAAAAAAAATTGTATTTCTAAAAATTCTTAAATAAAAACTCACTTTTCAATAACAACCAAAAAGACACGAAAAAATGTCTGCACAGTTCGACAGTGTATATTCCACGCACTCAGACATGTATCTTATTACTAGTTAGGATGTGTCATTCTCTATAAAAAAATATCGATTATTAATTATTCAAACAGTATAATATTCGATTAAGTAAATTAAATAAGAATCGATTTTTCAATCAGTTATAATCGATCATTTTCATACAACACTATTTTATGACACCTTGGCATGTGAGTGTTCGTTTTTAATTTTTAGATCATCGTTAGGTTCCATCGCTATTGGTTAAAAATAAAACCATATTCTTGTTTTTTAGACCTCTTCGATTTGTATCCAGGCGGCAAATAAAAAAAATATGTTTTTGAAACAATAAAATCGACGGCCTCGTTGGTTTCGCGGTTACACACCGCCTTACTTCCGATGGTCACGGGTTCGATTCCTCGCACGGCACAAACATTTGTATTCATACATATAATTGTTTGTATCGGTCTGGATGTTTTCTATGTATATATTGATGAAAAAAAAATATCTATGTATCAGTTATCTAGTATCCATAACACCAGCTTTAGTTAGCTTACCTTAAGTCTAGATGGCGCTGTGTGAATTATACTACGATTATTATTATTATATTATTACTAGCTGTGTGTATTATATATTTTGTACTAATAATATTTCTTTATGTTTTATGTCAATTTGGACGAATATCTGTATAATGTATATTGATTCTTATTTTTTCTTTATTTATATACTAGCTGTGCTCGCGCTATAGTATTAATAAGATTATAAAATCGATAAAACAAGCCGATTTTTTATAATCGATTATCTTTACACATCTCTACTTATTAGTAACAAAAAAATCGGTTTAGCAAATACGTGTGTACGTGTTGTTTACGCGTTTTGTTATGATACATATTCATAATTTGTGTCTACGTCAATCTCTGCTAATGGGTATTCATATGAGTAACCTTGGTGGTGCAGTGGTTAACTTATTGCTCGACCTGCCGATGATTATGGGTTCAATCCTGCACAATATTTTGTCTTTATGAGATGTTTGTTTGTATTGTTTTGGGAGTCAGGACAGCATCATCTCTACACTGATGTAGGTTTAAATAAATAAATAAATAAATAAATTGGTTTTTGTTGTCATATATACTGTGAGAGTATTTTTCAGAATTCATAATGATGAATTTAACGTGACTACTTTCAGGGGGATCCGTGTAGAGGTCAACCTGATATGGTACTAGTTATGGGGTTAATTGATCTGCATTACTAACAATCCTATACCCCCTTGTTACAACTGGTTACACAAACATTTTCATATTTAAAATTACATAACTTAATACACAAAATCAAAATTTTCAGTTCATCACTATTTTATACTAAAATTTTTGACTCCCCAACCTTTTGTTATACAATATCATATTGTGACGTAAATTATATATGCTCCCTAAAGAAATAAACAATGATGTTGTTTTGTATACAATACTGAAGAGTTCAAGGTTATAAGGCTAGTCCGAAGCATAGATACGATAGTAGTACGTGGTACACGATTTGAAGTAGGCTTTATTTATTTATTTATAATTAAATATTATAATAAATTCGTATTATGTGTTTACAAAAAAATCTAATTATTTATATCAATTGTCTAGTACACATAACACAAGCTCTCCTCTTACCGTGGGACTAGATGGCGCTGTGTGAATTGTCCAGGGTCATTTATTTATTGATTAATTCATTAAGCCTATTTTTAAATAATTTTTTATTCTCCTTTTATGCTTTCGGTAATTTTTTTGTATATTAAATTGATCGGTAGTAAGGACTTACATTAAATATTTCTATTTTAGTTTCTAGTAGGGAGTGCTAGATTTTTTTCAGACTAACCTAATGCTTTTGGCCGCAACTGGGGTTTACAGCATTACCGCACTGGCAAGGGCAGAGGGCACTCCAAACGCTTGGAAGGACTTGTGGAGCTGCTGAAGGCCAATTTCCGCCTGATGTATACTATTCTGGTATGAGGGCACCGTTAGGGGTTCGAAACTCGGCTCAGACCGTTGTAATTTCGATCCCCGTTTGAATTGGACGGGAAATCGATCGGAAAGGGAGTGCTAATTGGTTTTTAAGTCTATTACTTTTAAAACTAGAATACGATAAATGATTACCAATAAATATGAGATGGACATCTAAAAATATATAACTTAAAGGTGACTGACGTCGTGATCTATCAACGCACAGCCCAAACCACTGGACGGATCGGGCTGAAATTAGGCATGCAGGTAGACGTTATGACGTAGGCATCCTCTAAAAAAGAATTTTGATTAATTCTATTCCCAAGGAGATAAAATAGGGGATGAAAGTTTGTATTAAACTTTGTAAATTTTTAGCCGATCGGGCTGAGACTTTGCATGCATAAAGCTACTATGACGTAGGCATCCCCTAAGAAAGGATTTTGATAAATTCCACCCCTAAGGGGATAAATTAACGCGAGCGAAGCCGCGGGCAAGTCTCTAATATATATCCGATGCTAAAGTTATAATTTTTGATTTTGGAAAATATGATTTTACAATTTTCAAATCGCTTTATATTTGCTATTACGCGCATGCACTTTTATTGGATTACGAATAGGTCTGGGGTATTTGTAACATTATTGTTTCTCATTGGAATATCCCTCTAGGTAAAATAACGTATATACTTATGGAATTTGATGGAATGACAAATGCATGATACGGAATGACGTACGAAAGGGAAAGCCTTTCGCACGTCATTCCGTAGAGAGTGTTTTTTTTTATGAAACTGAAAAAAAAAACATAACAGTGGTGTTCTATGCATGTCAGTATGTAAATGTACATTTAGGAGTTTTTTTTTTCGGACTTCACTAATGGCTAATAATGACTTCAATAATCGGCTCTTGGCCGCAGCAGACCTTTACAGCTTCACCGGACGATAGGGAACGAGTGCAGATGGCACTTCAAACCCGGGGGAAGGACTTATGAAGCCTGACGGATACGAATTCAGTCTGACGGCACCGCTAGGGTTTCAGCTCAGGCTGTCGTAATTTCGATCCCCGTTTGAATTGTACGGGGGATCGAAATTACGACTGCCTCGGAGGGGGCACATTTAGGAGTGTCTAGGCCTAGAAATTTGCTACCGTAATTTAGATCGCAATGTCATGGCCGATACCAAAAAGCTGACGACTTCGGTGCCTTTGCAGTTTGAATCCGCAACGACTGAAAGTAAAATTATTTACTTTACTTTCAATCGTCGCGGATTCGATTCCTGGCACGGTACAAAGATTTTGCATTCATGAGTATGATTGTTTTTATCGGTCTGGATGTCTTCTATATATATATGTCTTTTACAAAAAAATCTTTCACGCAAAAACTACTGTACGGATTTTAATCAAACTTTACGGTAATACAGCTTAATATCAGAATAAAATATAAGCTATAATTGAAAAAGATATTATGTAAATTGGCCGAAATATAATGATAAATGTCAAGTAAGCGTGATGCAGAAGTCTGTCGTATAAATGAAAAATATCTCTATCCAATTCGCAAGACAATTATAGCGTGAAGATATTGAAATTAAAAACATATAAGTATGTAAATGGAAAACAGCAGTGCACAGATGTTATCAAATAACAATTTAACATAACGTAAACTTGTAACATGCGCGGAGAGGAAAAATCTAAACAGTACCAGTATCGAGTGCTCGAGTTGATTATTATAAACAAGAAAATCAATTGATAACAAATATTGGCGACACCGTATATATACAACACGGTTATTTTATAAATACGAAATGATCGCCTAGTGGTCCAAATTATAAGTTATAACATTATCGATTATATATAACTATTGTCAAAGACTACAATTAAATCTATATCTACATATAAATAAAATTGGAGTGCCTGTTTGTAATATTGAAACAACCGTTTTTTACTACATGCATAAGCATTAACATTTTTTACAATTTTTGTCTGTCTGTTTGTTCCGGCTAATCGAATACATTACTAAATACCACCAACTTTTCCATAGGTACGGTGGTATACGTTAAGAGCAAAGATCGCATATTTTTTATTTTGACAGCTGTATGCGCGTATAGCCCTTTGCCTCTCTGAATAGTATAAAAAATTACACACAATATTGGACGTAGCCATATCTATATAGAACGTGTAATGTAAATACTAATATAATACAGATAACACACATCGTATTTTTTTATTTTGACAGCTGTATGCGCGCATAGTCCTTTGCCTCTCTGAATAGTATAAAAAATTACACACAATATTGGACGTAGCCATATCTATATAGAACGTGTAATGTAAATATTAATATAATACAGATAATATTTAATTTTCATCATGGTTGTATACCTTAAGAACAAAGATCGTATTTTTTTATTTTGACAGCTGTATGCGCGCATAGTCCTTTGCCTCTCTGAATAGTATAAAAAATTACACACAATATTGGACGTAGCCATATCTATATTGAACGTGTAATATAAATACTAATATAATACAGATGTTTTTGTTTGTATTCCTTATCTGCAGTATGGGGCTGTTATATAAATACAGATAATGTGGCACTTGTTGATAATGCTATATAAAAATAATAATAATGCTTGTATTCGCAACGTATATTGCTACCTACACTATAATAAAACACATACAGCAATAAATATATAAACATAATTAACAAAAGGTCCTTGAAATAAAAACAGCTTACAAGCGAAGTTGCTTGGCTTTCAATAAAGTCTACCTCGGTTAGAATCAAATGGATCACCAAATTTTAGCGATTATCTGGTGATATAATAGTAATAATAATAATAACCTGGACAATTCACACAGCATCTTCTAATCCCTAGCTAAACAGAGTTTGTGTTCTAGTAGTACTGGACTACTTATATAAATCATACTTAAACCTTCCCTGGACTTCCAGGAATATTTCAAGAATAAAATTAGCCAAATCGGTTCAGCCGTTCTCGTGTTTTAACGAGACTAACGGACAGCAATTGGTTTTTATATATATAGATTTATTAAACTTCAATGGACACAATAGAAAATATAGTGCAGTACATTTAATGTACATAATGTACATTTTTAGTGGAATTAACCTTTCGGCATTTTCTACCAGTCAATCATGAACCATAGGCGGTCCAGAGGATAATTGTTGGCGGTACTATTGGGTACCGACAGCTTGTTTACACAGATTTTTCACGGAGATGATTACCATTCAATAATCATGGTAAAAAAACACAACGCAATAATACTGCTATTAAAATCATCCACTCTTTCATCCATTGAAGGGGATGGAACATCAAAATATGTTTTTCTCAAAAAATCCAAAGTCATGCGATGATATTGCTCCGTCGAAAATATTCCTTCAATCTGCTTTTATTACAGCAAAGCTTTCATACTTTAAAAGAAATTCTATACTAACTGTTACCCGTGACTTCGTCTGCATAAACTTTCATTCCCTATTTCATTCCCATTAACATTTTTTAAATAAAAAAATAAATTTTTTAATTTTTAATTTAATTAAGTTAGTTCTTATTAAAATTGATCCGTTCAGCCGTTTAGTCGTGAAAAGATAAAACTATACAGACAGACACACTTTCGCATTTATAATACTATAATATAAATATGGGAAGGTGAGTGATGTGGATTAATAACCCATATTGCTAGCAATGTACTATGTCAAGCTGACCTCCACGCGGTTCTTTCTGGAAACCATCGTAACAAATTCGTGGTGAATTTGTCACGATGGGCTAACTGACCTGATGTATCGGATCATCTTATCATCCTCATTTTTGTTTCTGTCAATTCACGTGTTTATCATGAATGAAATGAAATAAAAGTTTTCCTGACAATATTTCAAATTCTGATTCTAATTCAGTTTAAGCATAAAAGCTCAAATAATTGCTGATTGATTGTTATTCTAATAAAAGGTCTAATATCAAGCTAAAAAAATCGTAATAAAATTTACATCGAAGCAGGCTATTTTCGTAGTCATTATATTTACCCACGTGAAACCGGGTGTATAAAAGTATAAACTAAATTATAGTTATTAGAAAAATAAATTACAAAACCAACTCACCGATTCATCTAAGTGGCTAACACCATCTTCATCACGTTGGAGACACATCCAGATATCACAGCAGTAATTAAACAGTTTATTCACTTAAACATTAGCAATTAGAGAAAGTTCGAAACCGAGAATTGTGCCTAGCGGCACACCGCTATCGCGTTCTTAAAACGACTGAAGCAGTATAACTCCTTATGTTTTGAATACAATCTGAAACAGAAAAAAAAACAATAATAAACGTAACAGTCACAGTAGCCGTGTGTTTATGTACATTTATAGAAGGTATGGTGATTGTAACTCAATCTAAAGCACTATATAAAACTTCTGCAGTAATTAAAATACAAGATGATAGTGACTTGCTTTGAAACAAAGTATTTTTTGAAATGGAAATGGCAAAAAAAATTATTGTCTATGATGACGGCTTCGGTGGTTTAGTGCTTTACTTCTAGTAAAGCGGGATGCTTTACTTCCGATGGTCGCGGTTTCGATTCCTCGCACAATACAAACGTTTGTGTTCATGAGTACGATTGTTCGCATTGGTCTAGAAGTTTACTATGTATATTAGATAAGTATTTATCTCAGTTATCTAGTACCCATTACACAAGCTTTGGTTAGCTTGGGACTAGGTGGCGCTGTGTAAACTTTTTTGAGTTTAAGTCTGCGTTCGTCCTCGGAATGCAATTTATCTTTCTGTCAAATTTTATTGAAATCCGTTCACCCGTTTAGTAAAAAAAACGCTAGAGACAGGCACAGAAAGACACACTTTTCAAATTAGTAGAATTTAAAAAAATATACATTAAATCAAATACAAATAAAAGTATATCGTAGCAAAATTGATTGTAAGGCAATACAAAAGGGGAGGAGATTATTAATTGTGGGAAGTGATAATTCTATAGCTAGCTAGCAAAAGGGTCTACTCAATTAAGTCTATATCCTCAATGAGACCATCCCACCTAGAAACTATCGTAATTGAAGTGCTAACTGACCTGACGTTATATCGGAGACCTTAATGCTTTTCCATAATCACCCACAAAAATATATAATACCCACAAACGTTGTTTTGTCATATAAATTAAAATCGCTATTAAAAATTAGGGGTTAATGTTAGAAGGGCGAAAACTTATGTATTTTTCAACGCTAGATCATAATAAAATAAAATATTATGTCGAAAAAAAAAAATTAGTTAGAACCCTTACCACTTAGGATTATGAAAAATAGTAGCCAATTCTCAGATCTACTGAATATGCATATAAAATGTCATAAAAATCTGTAAAGCCGTTTTGGAAGAGTATGGTAACAAACACTGTGACTCGAGGATTTTATGTATAGGTAGCTGTGCCCGCGGGTTCACCCCGTGAAATTTATAGCCTACGTGTTATTATAAATATTCTTTATTGCACTTAAATACATTTATAAGTATATTAATTACAGCTAATGTTAACAAAGGAGGACTTATCTCTAAAAGAGATATCTTCCAGTCAACCCAATAGAGCGTGGCATAGGAAGTGTTGAGTGGGTTAAAATGTGCAAATTATATTTTTTATGAAAATGTCAAAATAATTAAAACTAAACATAAAAAATAATAATACACATAATTATAATACAATATATATATTATGATGTATAAGCTAAATAAAGTTACAACAAAATCCTTTCAGTAGTTTCTGAATGAAAGAGTAACAAACATTCATCCATACTCACAAACTTTCGCGTTTATAATATACTGTAATATACAGTAATGTGACTTTATAATACATAGTACCTTTGTAATGTTTATAAAAGACCGAGCTGACTCAATATAATCAACAGTAAACAATATGGTGGTTTGGCGGTCACCCGATATCTCCAAAACACGGTCGTGTCAGTTTCTAAAACATTGACTCACACGACGTGGTGTACTTATCGAACTAAATTTTATTTATATTGTGGTTTATTCTCCGGTGATACAATCCCCTCCGATCGATCCCCCGTCAAATACAAACGGGGTTCGAAATTACGACGGCCTGACCCGAGGTTCGAACACCTAGTGGTGCCATCAGACTAAAGTCGTATTCGTCAGACAGGAGTTGGCCTTTAGCCGCTCCATAAGTCCTTCCGCGGGATTGGAGTGCCATCTGCACTTGCTCCCTATCGTCCGGTGAAGCTGTAAAGGCCAGTTGCGACATTAGAGTAGTCCGATACAAAGAATCGTAATGAATTAATTAATACGTCAGCCATAACTTCTATACCTGATACGTTGGTTTGAATATATACTAGCGAAATGTTGGAATTTTTTATATATTTCGAATGGCAAACAAACAACAGCTCACATGATCGTATTCTTATGGATGATAATGAAATGGCACACGCCTGTGCTAACGGATTACGCTGGCGGGGCACCAGTGGAGGATGATCATGAGGTCAGGTCAGTTAGACCGCGGTAAATTCACTATGCATTTATCACGTTGGTTTCCAGGGGAAAGTACTTGGAGGCGACATAGTACAATGCTAGCAATGGGGTCATTAGTCCACGTCATTAACAATCCCCTTCCCCCCCCTCCACCAAATTTTTTTATATGATAATTTAATGGTGCACCCGCCTGCGCTAATGGCTTACGCTGACAAGGCGCCGGTGGAGGATGATAAGATGAGTATGAGGTCAGGTCAGGTAGCCCATCGTGGTAAATTCACTATGAATTTATCACGTTGATTGGTCCCGGGGGAACGACCAGGGGGAACGACCAGGGGGAACCATTGCTAGCAATGGGGTTATTAATCATATTACTATAACTACCCATACCTCCTCCGCCCACCTGATCTTAAAGGGCAACCGTGGCCTATATACATGAATAGTGCTCCTTGGAACACGCCCGTGGTATACCATGACTAAAATGTCATGCCTCTGTACCCTATAATTTCACGGGCACGTCTCTCTCCTATAGAAACACATCCTGTAAAGCAAGCAGCTTGAGAGTTGAAATAGACAAGTCAGAAGAAACCACGCAGACTGGTAGCATGTACAAAAAAACATTGACATATACCATTTTCAAGGTTAGCTGAAAGAAATATCTTTCTGCGATAATCTCGTCCTTGTACATTACATTTATCGTATCACTGTTTTTTTTCCTGAGTGTGTACAATAAAAAAAATGTAAACATATGTTTAAACCGAGATCCTCTAATTCTTCCTGAAAATTTTTATCGGTATCATATTTGCTTATTATAAAACAGTATTATAAACAGATTTCTTTATCAGTTACGATATGATTACATACACTTATGCACTACAATAAACATCTTATTTACTTATACTGTAAACTGATAATATAATAAAATAAATATATTGAGACCCGACATTTGCAATTTCATTTATCAGTAATAGCGACATCTATTAATTACTATTCGAACTACATTGTCTTTTACGTTCATTTTACTGATCAGCGCCATCTAGTGAGCGTAACCTGTAGCTAATTTTTTTCGACAAACGTCACGCCTGTTGCATACAGCCAGCCAATTGTTTACACAATACAAAAGACCCCTTGTTTGTTTTTCGCTAGACGTTTCCTGGTTTGTTTTGTGTGTGAACGCGTGTATGTGTGTGTGTGTGTGTGTTTTCACAGCCGGCCATAGAGGACGGTACACAAAATGTTGTTGTTTGCACGAGTCGACTCGGTAATAAATTCTGAGTTGAAATATTCTGTTACATGACGAAGGAGTAATGAATATACTGAATCGATTGATATTTCATTCGTTACGTCATTCGATAGGTATCTTTCTTATCGATATCAATGCCTACACACGTATGTAATTATAGAAGTGTAAAGTCGAAGTTTTTTTATCAAAAATAACTTATCGAAAATTGTCTCGTATTTTTATGCAATAACACCTACTTAAGATAACTAGATAACGAGTAGGTTTGTATTTTTAAGTACAGATTACAATTTATTGTCTCTTTTTTTTTAAATATATATATAGCAATTGGGACAAAGGACATGCTGCTCATCTGATGGCCATGGGCTCTGCTGCAACAGAAGCGGAGCTCCGGTCTTTTACGAAAGCACATGTAGTTTTCTTGAAGACATCACTACCCCATTGTTTCAGAATTACTTCGGCCGGGAATTGACTCAAGTATGTTTGAAGGTAGGCCAAAGACAATTTTGTGACAGTGCTATAAAATTTGGGTGGTATTCTAAATTCAATTCAATTTGTACCTCTGAACACTTTCACGTAAAATCTTAGAATACAAGTCGATTAAAGATCGGAAAAATACATAGAAGGCCAAAATAATGAAAAAATAAATGTAAAATCATTAACCTATATGACTAGCTAGTAGCCACGAATTCATCTTCAAAAACATTCATCCCTATTTCATTCGTATACAGATTATTTAATGACCAAATAAAGTTCATCTTTATCCAAATTATAATTATTATTTTGTTGTACCTACGTGTGTTGAAAGTGCAAATAAATTATTAAATCATATCAAAATCATTTACTTATTCATGTAGAATATTTTAGCCACTTATTATCGTTAAGTTTATTGTACCTATTATTATTTTTTCTACCGTTTAGTTCAGTATACCTATTCAATTGAGAACTGGCTAAAAAACTCAATTGAATTTCTTTTTTTAAAAGCCAGTTGATTCACATTGTATACTTATAGTATAGGTGCCTATGTCTAACAGTAAATGAAAATCTCGTGCATGAACAACTATTGCCATGCACGTTTGTCATTTATCTATCTATCTAAAAATGTATTTAATATATCAACGTCCTCTTGTTACGACATATCTTCGCACCAAATGTCATTAAGAAACGTTCAGCCGCTTCGCCGTGAAAACATAACAAACAGACAGATATACATTCGCATTCATAATATTGGTAATAATAATTTCTATAATTCGCTATCACCATCAAATATCGCCATGCAGTAGCGCGGTGATGATAACGACATTTATCAAAATGTCTTAATCTTTGATCTATATGACGTTGCTTTATCCCCTTATCACTTTGTATGAATGTAAAAAATATGATAAACAAAAAAAAATGATTAAGTATATCTAATTTTTAATTCATTAAATTTATCAAAAACCAATATCATACAGATATTGATTTTTCATTAACTAAGTCTTGAAGTCGCTTTTTTTATTGAATGATAAAGGAA